TATATATATATATATATATATATATATATATATATATATATATATATATAAAGATTTATTAGAAAAACAGGAGAGGATAAACCAAATATATATATATAGTATTATTAACATAGAGTCAAAATGAAGGCTACATTGTTAATAATTGGTAATGAGTCAGTACAACCTGCATTCGGTGCACATTGTTCAGTCAGGGATCAAAATGGGTTCTTTTATCTCCACATACATTTTTTAAAAACCTAAATTAATTCATGAATTTGTTTAAAAAGTAAACAGGGCTTTGCCTGACAGAAAAAAGTTGAAAACTCCAATTCTAAATTTTAATGTGACCTAATAAAAGAAAAGAAAATGGAAGTTTTTCCAAAAGGGACTCATTGAAAAATACAAACTTTTATTCTGAAAAGACTCTGCATATTTTAACTAGAACATTATGATAATTTAGCTTTTCTTGCATTCTGTCTCACAGAATTTCATAATAAATTTGACCTCTTTTTATAAACTCAACTCTGGAAAGTAATATTGCAAAGTTGAATAGTGTTCTTCTTTTCAGTCAAAGCTTCATCGTGACTAAATGATATTAAAACATTCTAATTACTGCTTAAAAATTAGAATATAGCATTTGTATAAACTACTTAAGCTGTGGGCTCAGTTGGAGACACATTTTCTCTCAGTTTGTGAAATGAGAAGTCTTTTCTCTGAGATTTCACATTCTCATGAAACTCTAAATCTTTTTAGAAAGGTGCGATTCTAAAAATACATACGCGTCAAGAAAATAAGCGTTATTCTGCGTGTACTAAATAATTTGAGTTTCGGACCTTTCAGACATTTTGAATGTGTAACTAAAAGCTCATCTCGTCATTAATGTAAATTGCTTTGATCTTATACCTTTTTATTTATTATTTCACTAACTGCAGTATTTAATACATTATACATTTACATCACTCCATAATAAATAATTTTTAAAACATTTACATTACACATGCACAAGAGGGTAAATCAGCTGACTAAGACTTTAAATAAACAAAGTGGTAAAAGGCTGCAAGGTCAAAAAAAAACAAAAAGGTTCTCGAGTGTTTTGCGAACACAGTTCACACTTATCAAGAGCACTGAAGCAGCACTTTGATTTGATAGTCATTAAGCCACTCACCTCTGAAAACACAGCTTCTCCGTGTGGAGGGAAACTTTTTCGGCAGCAGAGCAAAGGTTGGAGAAGAGGAGAGACAAAATGGATGTGCACTCGCTACAGACGAAGTGTCCTCAACAGCTTTCGAAACAGTCGAACGGACAATAAATTCCAAACAAGCAGCACTTTGACAGCTTCACAAGCCTGTCCTTCTTCGCAGCTCTTTTCTCACTAAAGTAAAGGCAGTGCTTCGGGAGAGTCATCGTCCTACTTTTAGTTAACCATGAGGCTCCCCTCTCTAGGTCACTTTGCAACTGACAGGTTTATCAGTTTCCAATTTAACAGAAGACACTGCCCGTCTTAAAGGAAATTTAAAAAAAATGTAATTACAAGGATTTTTATCCAGTGAACAAATACACTCTGAACATTCGCAAAAAG